GTTTAAAGCAATGGAGACCATAGGGTTTCTTTCCAGGTGTGAGCTTTGACTATCACTTTACATTCACCAGCTCTTGGGCACCTGTCAGGGTGCTGAGCTCAGGGTGCTGCTGATCCCATATCATCCCTCAAAATCTGCTGAGCACCTGGATAGTCTCCTTCTCATGTACTCATGGTTGCCACAACTGCAGAGTATGGGGTCAGGAGAGTTTTTCTGCATGCTGGAATACCAACTGTGATGGGTTTGCACCTAGTCAAGTATTTTGCTGTTGCAAAGGCAGCTGGCAATACCTTTGACCGTTTTATTTTTTTCCCATAGACCTTTATATTGTAGATCTCAATAATGTTCTCTGGTGCTGGAAAGTATTTTGTACATGAGCTTGTGGAAGAAAAGGGTTTTGTTTTGTTTTTTTTTTTATTGGATGTTTTGTGAGCTCTTGAACTTCACATGATTATTTATGAGAGCAGGAGACTAGACTCAAAGATTTTCTAGTCCTGTGTTCCCATGTAATAAAATTTACAAATTGTGATGACTGAGGGGATTTCCTACTCCTGGAGGCAGTCCTCCTGGGTGAGGATGGCATTTACTTGAGCAATGTAATATGCAACACCATGTATTGGGGACAGCTCAGGGTTAACTACCATTTTCAGGCTCATTTTGTACAGCAATTTTCCTTATATCTATCCTGCACACTTAAATTCTATAAATTCTTAGTAGCATCCAGCTGTTCTTTGCAGTTGGGAGTATAAACTCCTTTCCAGATATATTCATTTGCTTAAGATGTAATAGATAAAGAGGGAGGTCAAAGATTATTTGAATTACTTTCTCTTGAAAGTAGGAGCACTTAAATAAAAATAACAAGAGAGCAGCAAAGCATTCATGCTTCTGTTCAGACTCTAAATTGGTTTAAAGAAGTCTGACAATCTTTCCAAATGAATGAATGGTGAAATGTGAAAAAAAAAAAATCTTACGGTGTTTACAGCAGTTATATTTTTAGTGAAAACAAACACATTTGTATTAGGTTTCTGCTAGATTCCTCAGCCATGGGTCAATTTGAATCACATTGTTCAGTGGGCATTTTTATTAATTTAATATCTTTGGAAATTTGTTTTGCTTAGAGCATGGGATTTGAATACTAAAGGAGAGAGAGGAGGAGAAGAATTTGAAATGCGGATGACATTAGATATTGCAGACCTATGAATATAGGCAATGCACATATATATAAATTCAGCAATAGTTGAGGTATGGGCATGAGGTTTTGTCATTTTGTGCAATACTCTGGGATTTTTAAGTCCTTAGGGACTGAGTTCTGGTTTGTGCTTTAGGTGAACCCAGAAGGCAGGAAAACATGAAATGTATTAATTGTGCATCAGATTTTCTCTATGATGTTGCTTTTTCTCTAGAGATGTGGTGGTGGTGGGGACATTAGGAGGAGCTTATCATTGTGATTTTCTTCAGCATCCTGCTGATTTTAAAATTTATGGATTTCTCTTCAGTCTTTTACCTATAGATTGCAGGGTACTCTGAGGTCAAGGGTGAACACAGCAGCGTTGGGTATGGCCTGTTCTGGATGTATCCGTGCAATCCTAGGCAGATCCATGCCCCAGGGAAGGTACAGAGACAAGGGGAAGCACCAAAAGAGGTGAAAAAAATCCAAATACACTGGAGTGCTTTGGTTGTCCTGCCTTGCTCCAGCACTTCCCAGCAGTTGGTGTGTGTCTGGGTGGCACAGAGCAGACAGGGATGTACCGACGTAGACTGGCCTGGGATGCTTCATTTCCACTCCAATGAATCGCAGAGAGGAAGAGGGATAAAAAAATGGGCAAAGAAGCACACAGGGTTGAGTAATCATGCAGAAAGGAAGGACAATGAACAGTGCTAGTTCAGAGAAAAGACAGGTACCACAGTTCATTTCTGAAGATACTGTACAGAAGTCTTTGGTGTGGAATGACAGATAGAATTGGCAGTGACAGCCAGAAAGGGAACAGGGAAAAGCTCCTCGTTTTCAGGCCTTCAAAAACTTGAGGTCCTCACTTGTTTCTCAAGTTCAACACAATAAGGCTGAAAAAGCAAGTGAATAATGCCAGTTGGCAGAGAATTAAAATAACGAAGTTGAACTGTAGCCAAACCAGTCAAAGATGATGGCTTTTTAGATGTTTCTGTCTGTAAAAAAAAATATTTATCATCACAAAGTGTTTCTTTCCCCGCCCTTCCCTTCAGTTTGGTATGGTCTTTTCTTCCCTACTGTAGCCTTTCATCAGAAAAATTGAGTTTCACATCAAACACTGATAAAAAGAGAATAGGTTTTTCTTCTAAAAAGCATTTTAGTTGCTCTAAGATTTTTGGGGTAAACAGTTGAAGCTAGAAAATTGGCTGAGTTGTATGCCCAAACCATAAAACTCCTTTTCTCCATACTTGTGAAAACCAGATTTGATCCAGCAAAATTATGAGTTACAAACAAATCTTCCATCACTCCACTGGTCACTTGATGTGGTCAATTATAATTTTGAAGATGATGATGGCTATTGTGTGTCTCTGCTAATCTCCAACCCAAGTGTAACCCTTTGGCATGACACATCCTGTAATTTGTTAAGTTTTCCAACAATGGCTCATTTTGCATTTCATTGGTACTTTTCTCTCCAAGAGCCTAAGAATATGCTCCCCTCACTAAAGACCAGAGTAATTAATCATCAGAGATGTTTGTAAGGAAAAGGCTTGACTGTGGGAACAGTTATAGGCAAAGTAGAGAATACATTTTTATATCCCACTGCATAAATCACTTGGAGAATTATCTTCTGTACATAATTATCATTTTGAACCTTTTGAATTTTATTTGTAAAGTTATCTTAAAACAGTATTTTTTTTCTCCACACACAAGGTGTGTTTTCGTAGAAAAATTATCCAGTTCATTTTTTAAAGGTGCCATAAAGATCCTTGCGCTCTATTTCTTGTTGTTAGAAATCTCTTAGAATATTAGATCATTTTTACATCTGTTTTCTGCAGGGAAGACTCTTCCAATTTTGTCTTAATTTCTATCCATTAAAATGATAAAGAAGAATCTAAAAAAAATGAGAGCAAATACTTACTAAACTATGCAGGCAAGCCTGCATTTTAAATGCAGGTGTTGTACTTCTCGAGCTCTGTACATCCACAGAATATAAATGTTGATCAGTGCACCAAGTGTTTATGAGAGTCAGCCACTGAGTGATGGCAGGAAAATTTGAAGAGCTTGTTTGATAAGCTCTTGTCACTTTTCATTCCTTACCTCTCGGCTTGGAATTCTTCCCTCCCCAGGGCTTTGTCAGGTGTCCTGCTCTTTCTCTCCGGGGCACTTGCTTATGAGTTGTGTTACTCTTTCATGACCTTCTACACATTCATGGGGTAGTTACAAGCCTGGGATCAGGGCCAGAAGCTGGGAATGACATCTGTTCCTGCTCTTCCAGCTCCAAGATTGGAACAGGCTATTGGGGATTTTGTTCTGGTGCCGCTGCTGTGTGCAGAGGATGATCCTGGTTTAGGTTGCTGTCTCATGGCCATAGTGGACAAGACTTTTAGGTCTTGGTTTTCCCAGTATATACTTCTTCTTTTTTCTTTGGAATAGGGTCGTTGAACCTGTGTCACCTCTCTCCTCCCAGGATGGGTGTTTTTAGGTCTGTGCTACAAATATAAGTTGCAAACTATGTTGCAGGGAGGAGATGGATGTGAGGAAGGGAGTCCAAGGCAGTTGGGTGAAGCTAACAAGATGTCTGAGAAGCATCTCCTTTCAGGTGCATTTCTTGGCCTTGCAGTGCTCCAGAGCACTTGACAGTTCTATCAGTCTACTGACAAAATTACTGGTGGGTAGAGATAGATGTCATATATTTACTGAGCTGGGAAACTAAGCAAGTTCTTCCCCTGAAGAAAAACATTAAATTTGTACCTCTTCCTTAATGGATTTGGCAAAGTCTGCTTGGCCTATAAGGCAGAACCTTATATACACTCTGAATTTAAAGGAAGGAGTAGTAAAAACTAACGGAAAAAATACATTTTCTACTCTGGCTTGTTTTCAAAGGTAATATTTGGAGATATTTAGGCATCATAAAGAGGTACAATTCCACTGCCTCCCGTGGCTCTCCCCCTGTGTATTTCCCAGAGTGATTGGGAAGGTGTTGCTGTGAAAAGTACAGCCATAGCTGACTGCACAGAGCCTGGGAAGGGAGGAGAACTTGCTCTCCAAGCTGGACCAATGTAGCTGTTGCCCAAGGCTGGTAATGCAGTGTTTGCTCTTGTAAATATGTTCTGATTTTTAGCATGACAATGATTTTGGTGAATAAATAGATGCCCTCCATCTATTCCTGAGGGTTTACATGTCATGGCAGAAAGTGACTTTTGTGCCTGAATGAATGTATATGTAAATCATTTTATGTCAGTAGCTTTACTTTTGCCCTGCACCATAAAAATTCACTGCTCTGAGGGCTTCTGCATAATGGGCTTTTGGAGCCCAAGCATTTCAATGGCTGGGGGCTGTATTTACAAAAGGAATTCAATCAGCCATCAATGACACTTAGAGCATCTTGATGCTGTCCCTTGTTTTGGCAATTGACAGTGGAATACCCTTGCAGGAAAAACTTGTATAAATGTGTTGTTTCATATGTGATTTTAAAGCAAATCTTCAGGAATTCTGAGATACCATTAGATACCATTTTCTAATAATTTTTTATAGGCTTGAAGTAGTGTCTTGGGGTCTTCTTTGAAATCCTCTTTGAGCAATCCTCCTAGGTTTTTCTGTAAGAATTCTCCTGAGGTGACATTGTAATCAGCTTGAAGATATTCAGAAGGGCTAACAGGGGCCACTTCTGCATGAGTCATCTGCGACATTGTGTTACAGATGTTGGTTGTCTTCGAGCTATGGACACGTAGGCTGTGTCTCAGAATGTCCCCAGAACTATGTGGTGGTGATGGCAAAGTTACCATGCTGGCTAAAATTACATTGGTCTTCTCTGTTTTTTTATCCACTGCAGGTGTTCTGTGCCTGCCAGACAGCTTGAACCTTCACAAGGATCAGCAAAGGTCAAACAAGCCTGGGGAGGTGCAGATGTTCAGCCAGTCAGAGCTGAGGACCATCGAGCAGTCTCTACTTGCCACACGTGTGGGGAGCATCGCTGAACTCAGTGAGTACCAGGCAGTCAAGAATGTTTGGATTTCTTTCCTTGAAGTAAAGCAAAGCTAAGTGCATTGCCTGGTTCTGCTCAGGAGAGATGAGGGGGCTGTGTAATGTTGAAGGAGATGTTGGGCAGATCTAGCTGTGTTCGTGCTCCATTGTTAGTTCAGGAGCTGAAGATAAAGGAGGAAGGAAGTGTTGTGCAAACTCGTGGAAATGCCTGTGGCTTGTTTGCATACACTGCTCTCAGTTTTAAAGGTGAAAGATGCTTTAGTCCATCTTCCCTATGTTGTATTTGAGAGCACCTCTCAGGCTGGCCAGATTTGCAAGTGTCTGGCATATTGGTGTCCTGTCTCATTTCATGAGATGTCTGTTTTATCATGGGCAGGCAGAAAGCTGAAGGTTGCAATAATTAAAGGAAATACTGTCACATGTTTAAGGCAGAGCTACTTTGTCCTCTTTTACCTGCCTTTCCTTCTCTGGCCCTACAACTCAAACCTGCACCAGATGAATTAACTCCTGAAAGATAAATTGTTTGCTATTAATCAAAGCACTTTTTGAGAAATATGGGAATCTGTGACATTTGTCAAAATCTGAAAACTTGGCTTTTGGCACTAGTAAATGGTAGGAGGCAAAGGCTGTATGCATCCTTATGTGACACGGAGATAAAGTTACCAGAAGTGCTTTGTTTAAACTTCTTTTTTCTTAAGAGAGAAGCATTCCAATCACATGTTGGTAGTCTTTCATACTGGAAGCTATGTGTGGGAAAGCAGACTCATTCAGGCAAAAAAAGTGGGGTTTTTTCTGAGGTTTGTGGGAAATACTGTCAAGTGTTCTTTTCCTGAGGTCTGTTATGAAATTCTGGGGGAGAAATGAAAAATACTCAAATCCGTGAAGATACAGGCTACCCAACCTACTGCTGTTCTTATTAATGCATTGTGTGTTACCAGCATCCTAAAGAACTCCTGTTCATTTTTCGGCACTTCCTGTAGCTCCATCATGGTTCAGTTTCCTCCTGTTCATGAGCTGTGTTGGGTGCACCAAGGATGTTTGTCTACAAGACACAAGATGAATTTCTGTTTTCAGCTTGCTAATTTTAATTTGCTCTGGTGCAGTGTCAACAAGCCAAGAGCCTTAGTGTTGTTCCATCTCTGGAATCAGGTGTTCAGTGTTATTTAAATGAAGTAATTTATGCTCATTTATTTCACGCGCATGAAACACACAACAGTGTTGTCTGTGTGCCAACTAAATTATGCATGATACAGCTCTCTTTCTTACACTTCGTATGGTTGGGGTTTAATAAATAGTAATTTGTGGGTATTTCGGGGTGGGTGGAGTTTTTATTCTGGATTTTTTTGGACCTTTGTACTCAGCCCAAAAAGCCAGACTTCTTAGAAGGAGCACCCCATCCCATTTTACACGTTGAACTCTTATCACCTCTAAGTGTCCTGCCTTAGATTCAAATGGTTGGTAGGGTTTGCTTTCTGTACATCTGTCAACTGCAAACGCAGGCAAAACACTCTTCAGGGTGGCCAGTTGGAAGAACAGAGCACATCAGTGGGAGCTGGATGCAGCTGTCGGAGAGGCTGGCACATCCAGCGGGCTGGTAGCCCTCCAAAAAGCCCTGTGGCCAACTCGAGGGATCCTCCCTGACTGCTGCAAGCAGATGCATGTCAGGGAAGCAGCAGTGGGAGGAGCAGTAACTGGCAAAGCTTGCAAGGCTTGATATGCTCAGTTGGGTAGAAATCTGTGCTGTGGAGCAGTGTCGGTGCAGAGTTCAAAACCAAGCTGTGAAATGTGGAAGGAGTTGCAGCATGTTGGTGGGCAAAACCCTCTGTGTTTGGAGGAAAAATGATGAAGTGGGAGGAAAATAGAGCAGAGAGGGGATACAAGTAGGTTTGCTCTTTGTTCAGTGCTGGTGTGTCTGTCTCTGGCATCAGCAGAGGCTGTGAGCCAGAGGTCACAGCAAAATCTCTGCCATGGAGGGTGGGTGGGGAACCACAGCGTGGGGCAGAAATGCAGACCAGTGGGGAGAAGGTGGGGGGAACACCTGGGGATCATGAAGGCAAAAGGCAAAGGATGATTTATTGCTGCCCTGGTGGTGTGAGGGGGATGGACATTGTGGAGAAGAAAGAGGATATGGCAAGCATTGCCATGGAGAAAGTGAGATATGAGGGAAGGATCGAATAGGGAAAAGCTCCTGCTTTTGTAGGGCTGAATAAAGGTGACGTGGGAGACTGTCTGGATAGGAGGGAATTAGGAGGATAGCACTTGAGAAGAGGATCATGAGGAGGAGGAAATGGCAAGCAGAAGTTAATGACAAGGGCAGAAGCTCGGCTTGTGGAGCAGCAGAGTGAGCAGTCCCCAGGCGTGTGTCTGCATTGTCCCATCAGCTTGCAATATCCCAGGAGCCAGAATTTCATTTCTGTTCTCTTCAAAAGAGCACAAAAACAAGGGCAAAGACTGATCTTGCAATGAAGCAATTTAATTTTATCTCAGAAAAAAAAAATATTTTAAAAAAAGCTATTCTAATTGAATGAGATTTCCTATAGTTTATTGACATGAATAATTAAATATTGTAAGTACACAGAATAACTGGAATTAACAAGTGTCTGCATGTGGAGGAAAGGCTTCCCCTGCTCTCAGTTCTACCCAGAATGCTTGCATAGAGGAATGTGACCAGCTGCTGAGCTGCTGGAGGCTTTGAGACCAGGGAATCTAATCTGCCCCATGGAAGACAACAGCTTGCAAATGAGACCTGTTTTCTGCCCTGCACCTGTATTTCAGCACACATCTTCTTAATTTATTTACAGTCTGTCCTAGGGGAAGAAGTGATTGACAGGGTGAAAAGCCTTTTATCATACCCTGCCCTACCCATGATGGCCTTCGTGTGTCTGCATCCTTTGTTTTTTCATATATTGTCAGTGTATTAGGAAAGACCATTTGGGTAAGCTGGATCTCCCTGGGTGTGACAGAAGGTAGGAGAAAATTGGGGAAAGGAGGGAGGTCAGCGCCGTCTGGTGATGCTGCCTGCCTTTGAGGAGTCCTCCTAGTCAGACAGGTGCAACTGGACTCATGGATGCTGCTCTGGTCCTGCCAAATCCTGCTTGCCTGGTGCTTCTCATCTCCAGGCTCAGCAGGCAGCAGGCACTGGTCCTCACTGGGACACGGCCTGGCTGGCAGTGGCCAGGTGAGGCAGTGCCACTGGCCACCGGGTGTTCTCCAGAAAATAGGAAGAAGAGGTGATTTTGCTGACTTAGGGGAAAAACAAAAGGGAGGTTTCATCTCCAGGACTTAGGAGGAGAATGTAAATAGACACCTAATTCTGCACCACAATTACAGCAGTAATGCGTGATTCCAAGGCAAAGGCTTAAAAATTAATGTGAAACCTTATCCATTAAAATATAATGAACATGGCAGAAAGTTAAGGAACAACAATAAATCTGGTCTATGTTATATTGGCATTTAGTATTCAGCAGTTGTAATTGCCTGCTACAATGTGTTTTAAAATAATGTAATTTCATTTGAAATACTTATTATATAGAGAACATTGGGAAGAACTGAAGCACAGCAAAAATAACAGGGTTTTAAACAGTAGCCTGACAGTATTTCACTGTTGAGTCTTAGAGAAAATATTTCACAGGAATTTTTTTTTCCCCTTTTTTTCCTCCCATTTTTTTTTTCCTTGAAGTTTCCTGCATTTCTAGACCAGACCTAGAGGAGAAATGGAGTAGATCTGTTTAGGTTTTTCAGAAAGTTTTGGGGATTATCCTAGATTTCTAATTGTTCTTTCATTTCTTCCCCTTTCAAATGAGAAAAAACAAGTAGGCTGAATAGAAAAAGACAGGAACGTTAGGGAGAGCTTTTGCTGTGGAAGGATCCCAAGATATACTCCGTTTTGACCTTTGAATATTTTTCCTAACTTCTTTATATGCATGTTTGCAATCCACAAACATTTATGTTATATTTGACTGCATAATGCTCCAAGACACCTATTCATCATCCATCTAAAAATAACCCTGCTGGCTTGGAGACCAAATGCAGAAGGAATGAGGCTCATAACTGAAGGTCGTTGCTGTTTTTTGGGGTGAAGAGCATGCACACTCTTTCTCTTGAGTGTGCACAAAAGTGGTGAGAAGGTAGAGCAGAGCCTTAAGATGCACTGGGCACCAATCCTGGCACCAAGAAATGCTTGTCCCTCACTGCCTTGGTGTAAAGACTGTCAAGGTGTTGGTGTCTGACGTGGGACAACCACCCTGTGCTGAGTGTGTTCGTAGGGCTGCAGAAGGTGTGTGTCTCAGCACAGGGAGGTAAACCATGGCTTAGGATGTCATCCAAAGTGTCTCAGTGTATGTCTTCAGGTTAGAGCAAAAAACTGTTTGGGGCTTGTTTTGGGTGCAAAGATGGCCAGTCTGCTATGGCTTTCCTGGGTGAGCAGTCTGCCACCCAGACTTGTGCAAACCACAGTGACTGGTGCTGGTGTCACTCTGAGTGTTAACCACAGTGAATAATCATTTTTATTTTAAATTGATAATCTGAAGATGTGATTTAACACTGCTTATATCAGAAGTTTTTTGCTTTTGAATGGTGTTTAACTTAGAGCAGTCCCCAGATGTGATGTTCAGGCTGGTATTTCCTCCCTGTCACCACTCAGGTCTCAGCAAGGTTTTGCCTTTTGCCATTGGAAAAATGCCACCCTTTTCATTACACATCATCCTCTCTTTGCATACACAGTGCTGAATGTATATATTTCCAAAATAAAAGCTTCCCAGTGAATCTTGGCACCTTTTTAGGGATGAAAGGAAGGGTTACCGCTCAAGTGTAAGTAGGAATGTGATTGCACATACTGATACTGTTTTTCATTTCTCCATGCAGCCCCAGCTGAGGAGATGATGAAAGTCTGCATCCCCTCCTTTGCCTTTTCATCTATTTTCAATCCTCTGCAGCCAACAGGAAGGAGCACTGCAGGAGCTGTACAAATTGATTTATGTGCTCTAAATAAGAGGTTAA